ATCCTGTCTTCTTGAGTACCACAATTAAACGGGAATAAAATCCCGGAAGAACTGGATTAACCCTCCACTACTGCTCTTTTGACTAACAGCTCTCTTATCGCGTGGGAACGAAGCTCCACTCATCGTGAATTTGTTGGAGGTGACAAGGCAACAGGTTGTACATAAAAAGATGTAAGTGATGTAAATTGAGTGACCAACCCTGAATTCAAAGCGTGGAATACCCATGGATCCCTGGTGAAAGAACTTCATATGTCCAGAAAATGATGTAAATGTGATCCCACTGCTCCCCCGCCCACAGGATAGATACAGACGCTGTTGTCAACGGTCCGTCCAAGCTGAAAATCCTCAAGAATACAGATAGACTAGTATGGGAACGAAAGGAAGGGGGGGTGTCTGGAAAACTAAAAGCCGACACTCCCGAATTAGTGCCAAAAAGTCGAAAAGTCAATGACAATAAAGAAGAATGTAAACAAAGTTAATCAAATCTTGATTTTAACATCTCTGTAACTCCCAAAAACAACATGGGATGGAGAAAAAGAAGCTTCCCATAATACCCTGAGAGCAGAAGACGGTAAATGAACACTTTTTAACAAAGAATCTCTATCCAATAAATCCCAACAACAAACCAGACAGAAAACCAAAGAAAGAACTGAAGAAGACAATCTGACTGAGGTAGACATCAGCAAAAATCCCCAACTCAACCTCAAATTGCTGAGGGTAACATTAATAGTCTTCCAATAAAAGTTGGATCGAAGATAAATACCAAGAAAACTGATCTGTTTAAAGTTATCACAGGTTCCAAACGATACCCCCACAGGTCCAAAATAAAGGGTCCATTCACTGATAATCAAAATATTCCTCCTAGCAGTGATAAGCCAAAGCATATTGTTCCAATAAACGTGGGGGACAAGGCATAGATATCCAGTCGTGCAACTGAGCAAAATAGGAGAGATCCCCAAAACCCCACAAACCCGAGTAACCAACTGAAGAAAAGGGGCTGGAGGTGGCTAATCAAAATGATCCTCTGTTGAGGCCGACCTAGTAAAAAAGAAGCTGGAAAAAACTTGTCTAAATTCTCCCCAGATGGTCAGAATCATGTGTAAAAGTTGCCTCAGAACCCCCTGGAGAGACACTCCTGGTCCGCATATGTGTCCATCTCGCAACAAATCATATCATAGGCAGCCTCGACTGAGAGCGATACTTCCCCTGGTCATTGACTAATACTAGATAACAGAGGTGGAAGAGGAGAGGTCTGAATGGCCTCCGTAATAGTAACATTAACTCGAGAATTTATAACTGTTGGTACATATTTTTCTGTATGTTTTATTATTATTATTAAAGTAATTTATAAATATACGAAGATATAACCATAGTAATGCAAACCATGTTCAAAATCACAACATAAATTGTGAATAAACACAACACTCCTACTTACAGAAACCCATGCCAAATACTTTGTCAAGAAAAAGTGATTACATTACCTGAATGAGGTGCTTATATACAATACCTAGACAGAGGGCACATTGACGTTGGTGGAGAAATTTGCAAACTGGAATTTGCCCTGGGCAATCGAGTTGGGTATAAAAGGTTGGAGCAAGCATTTTCAATGCTTACCTGAGAAACTCTGGAGATTGAGAAATAGCTATGGTGCCCGCAGAGATAAGTATGTTTTGGAAAAAAATTTATCTGGAGCACTGTTATATAACATTAAAACAATCTATTAGCTACATCGTGATGCCAAGTTTATTTGTATACACTGATAATAAAGTATTTTAATTAAATTTTGAATGTAACTCTGTAAAAGGTTGTGACATGCATACATAAAAAAAATTGCCTCTAAGGTAAGGATCTAGGGTTAGAAAATCAGAAAGTATGTAGATAACATGATCATTTTTAAGTATGTAAACTAAACATATATAAAAAACATAATTTTTTGTATTTATATAGTTGCAAAATAGTTTTTACACTCCTGAGGATGACATGAATTAACAACGAAACATGTATTGTGATTATAATTGTGTACTACACAATGTTGATCGTTTGAGTATTTTAATATATTTTAAATATATATAAACAAGTTCCTTGAATCTTAACCTTTTAATACCATAAGAATGCCCTGATTACTGAAATAAATATATATGTGCCAGTGTTATATGTTCAAGAATAAATACATTTTATATTCTTTCAATTCACTGGTTGTAATCTTTATTCTTTACATAAACTTCCTTGAGTTGGTGGCTTGTGAGCCTCACCCACAACTGCGTGCATAAAAGTATCCTGGAAATAAATAAATTTATTTCTAACAAATGCAAGTTAAACACACAATACCTCCAGTTGTTGCATTAATACAATCTTGTATGTTTAAATGACCAAAGTAGGATCCCATTAACCCTATCACCACGGGTATCCTTTAATGCACGACACAAGATTTTAGTGTCTTACATTCAAAATTTTATTATACTACATTTTGTTTACGTTGTACCAATTAGAATAGCATAAAATCTTAGCTAATAATCCATATTTTAATAGTATACAAGTTTTAAGTTCTTAAATCTACAAAGGAATATTAAAAAAAAATCCTGAATTTCCACTAGTGTGACTCACGTGACACATTTTGTCTAAGCATGTCATCATCCCTATTTTATCCATCACCCATTGAAAATGTATGAAATTAAATGTAACTTACTCTATATAAAATAGTTATTGCTCAGACAAACCATAATATATATAGTCTTCAAATAGAAAATCAGACCTCTCCTGCCACACCCACCTCTCACATCCTCTCTTTCACAATTTGTTGATAGTTCTTATTTGCATTTCATTATATATTACCTATAACCAATAGAAAGTCAAGGTTTTCATCTATCAAATGACGTATTGTATAATGTTGCATTCTGTACAGAATATCATCAATTTCACTCCCAGTACAAGATTCTTTCCAATGGGAAAGTTAACAACTAGTTTGAATGAATTTGTAACGTCCCTTGTCGCATAGTTAGAAAGACGGGAAAATTTTGAGAGTTAAGGGAATTTGTCTACTTTTTACATGTTAGTAGTCTATATTCTTTGGTGCATTATTTAATTAAATAAATTATTAAATGCATTACTATCCTTACTATAAAAAATTAGGATTAACTCTCTGCTAAACCCAACAGCAAGAAAAAAAAATATTAGGTAAGTACTTTATTTCTTGTTTTTCATATTTATTCTTTATTATTGTAAAAGTAACTAAAACCTAAAATTTTGGATCTTTTTAGTTATTTAAGACTAGATTAGGTAAAATTAGTAATAATAATAATATAATTAAAACGATTCACGAGACACACATGCGAGCAGCTCGTGGGTA